GGCAGATTACAGATTAGAGGAATTAAGTACAGTGGAACAAAGCCCTTATAATTCTGTCCAAAAGGCAGAGCTAAATGCTTTTCTCATGGTACTAAGGGATTTTAAAGAACCTCTTAATATAGTTACTGATTCATAATATGCAGAAAGAGTTATCTTGCATATTGAAACCATTGAATTTATACCAGATGATACAGAATTGACTTCATTATTCATTCAGGTTCAAGACATAATCAGGAATAGGCTTTGTCTCATATACATCACACACTTCTGATCTCATACGTGTCTACCACCTCTAGCTCAAGGTGATACAGAAATGAGTGATTATTGATTGGAAGTGTGCTGAAGACCTCAGAATTTCATAAGAAACATCATGTTATAGCAAAGGTTTATAGAAAGAGTTTTCTATTACATGGCAACAAGCTAAAGAGATTATAAAAGATGTCCTACTTGCTCTTTCTATAACCAAATACTGTTATCTTCAAGGAGTAATCCAAAAGGCACTCAAAAGGAATGAAAACTGGCAGATGATGTATTCCACTTTATAATATTTGGAAAATTAAAATATGTATACCATACCATTGACACCTATTCAGGTTTGCAATGGGAAACTGCCTTGAGCTCAGAAAAGAGTGGTTCAGAAATCACATATTTATTAGAAGTTAAGGCCATCGTGTGGATACCTGCACAAATAAAGACACACACAATAGCCCAGCATATGCGTCTAAGAAAATGAAACAGGTTTTTGCTTATTATAATATAAGGCATGTTACAAGTCAGGCAGATGTAGAAAGATCAAATTGAAGTATAAAGAATATAATAAACAAAAAGAAAGGGATGGAAAATACCCCCAGAAATAGATTACATAATGTTTTATTAACCTTGAATTTTCTTAACCTTAATGAGAAAGGAACAATGGCAGCAGAGAGACATTGGATAATTTAAAAAAAAACTTATGAATGAATTAAATCAGCCAGTGTGTTTCAAGGATGTGCTGACCTCACAATGAAAGTCAGGAGATGTGCTGGGTTGGGGAAGGGGTTTTGCTCTTGTTTCCACAGGAGAAGAAAAGCTATGGATACCAACAAAAGTAATAAAGATTCAGTTTAAAAGAGAGAAATCTCTTGAGAAAGAGAAATGACAGCTCATCCACAATGGTGATAGTCTTACAGGTGGAAAGAAAACCTCATAAGGGTTGGGGCAGGGTTCTGTTTTTGTCTTTGCAGGAAAATACTCATCTTCAAAAAGTCAATAGACATTGGATGCTTGGGTGCCTACAGAGAATAGGATAACTATCCAGAGAGAATCACCAGAGAGAATCATGACTCATGAGGACAGGTTATCTGCAGGGAAAAAAACTCTGAATATATATCTGCTGCCCAGTAGAATGATAATCACAATTCACTTAAAAATCAAAGCTGGCTTTGGAATTGGACAGTGGCTATCCTTCTCTAAATCCAAGCATGTTGTTAAAAGAAAATTTCTGTCTCATGTCAGGAGCCATCTGGTATGAGACAGAGAGAAGAATTTAGGAAATATTTTACTTCTCTCCATATCTATTTTTGTCTCCATCGTACCTTCCATTGAATATATGTCTATATGAATAATACTTATGTTTTCTACAATGAGCAATAAATTTTCCTGTAGTAATTTTTAAAATTTCCAGGAAGAAGATGAGCCCCATGACAATGACTCCACCTGGTTCATATGATGTCATGATGCTGATAGCACTACTTTAAGGCCTATTTTGGGTACCAGCTGCTCAAGATGGTTCTGATTTGGTTAGCTGAAATGGTGCACTTTCTTCTAATGTTCTGGCCAGAACTTCAAATAGGAACCTCAGAAAATCCCTACCAAATACTCAGAGACTATTGGCAATTATACTAGACGGTAACCTTGGAACATAACCATCATTTTACTTTCACAGGATCCCATAGAAAAAACATCGTCCCCTTGACAGGTAGAAGTAATTTTAGAAGACGAAGTCCCATGTCCCAACAAAGTTTGTCCTCAGGGTTAGGGACATCATTTAGAGATTGATTATAACTGGTATAGGGGTGGGGGCTGGGGTAGAATTTATATAGGCTCAGGGATCTCTTTGTAAAAAAATAATAAGAAAAAAGGAAATTTGGATGGGATAATAGGTATATTAGTGTGGGCTTACTCACACTAATAATAGTAATAACAAATAATATTTGTCATATTGAATATGTACCTATTTCTGTTTACAATATTTGTATACCTAGATAAAGTTATTTTGTCATATTGTATGCATGCATGCTTCTACCTCTGCTTAAGACATTTTGTATATTGATACAATTTTGGATATATTTATCATATTGCACTATACATTTGTACTTCTGATCAAGATATTTATACATTGTTTATATTTTGAGGCCATTGTCCTCATTTGTTGCAAGATTGTTTAATATTCTAATATGAAATCTTAGTCTTTAAGCTATCTAGTTATTAAGAATTATAGGTCAATATCATCCATGTTTCTCACACTTATAGCTAGACTAATCAGGTTCTTTTGATACATAGAGATTGTATTCCACATAGACAGGTAATCTTCAACCACTTCACAGAGCTATAGGATATGGCATTTAAATAACTTAGGGTTCTGTTGACATGAAACATGATTGCTCCTGGCAGCACCAATCTATTCCCGAGAGAATGTTGAACACCAAAGACACTCCACTTGGAGCTTGTTTTCTTCTTGGCAAAACTGGCCTTTGGGCAAGGAACTGCTCATGCCTGTTCCAAAATTCACAGTGCCAAGCAGAATACAAGAAAAAAGACTGTCAAATCTTACCAAGACAGGGTAAGATAGTTTTGAAAGTTTTCCATTCTCTGAAAACGGTCTGTCAGTTACTCTAGGCCTTAGCCGAAGTTGGTTGCTCCAATGTTGTAATTGAGACTTTGGGTGATCGCCCAGGTAGGCAGTTGTCTCTGTCATTTTCTCCACATTTTGGAATTTGCTTGATTGCACTTCCTATTTACTCAGGTCTTCGATGGGGTTGAAGTCGTAGGTACTTTCCTCTCATAACTCTCATAACTCAGCCAAGCTATTTATAACACAAGACTTAGACTCCTTAGGATTGGATAACTATTGAAACATTTAGCATATGTTTCTTGCTTAATATTGTTTATGTTGGTTGTAATTCTAATTTTTATACTTGATATGTGTTCTTATTGTATATAGTTTTGTATTAGGCTTAGAATTCTCTTATTTAGACAAAAGGGGGAGGTGTTGTGGAAACTCCTTCAGCCAATAGCTTTAAGATACCAGATCACCTGAGTGTGGCCTCATATACTATAAATGCAGCTGTAAAATTTGTGCACGCTCTCTCTTCTGGCTGCCGGATTTGGTTGCTGTTCCCATTTGTGCAGAGGATGGCAATCTGTGAGTCTACTCACTTCCTGTATAAAAACCCTTATGTGGTGGCCACAGCTGGAGCCTGGGTCCTCTGAACGGAGACTCTGGTGTGGGTTTTCACAAGGTGGTCAGTGAATTCCTGATAAGGAGACTTGGTGAACACAGTCTCTTTCCAGAGGTCGGGGGTCAGGTAGCTGTAGGTCTTAGAGATGGCATCAAAGGTGGCCTTGGCAAAGTTGCCCAGGGTGGCAGTGCAGCCCCTGGCTGATGGGTAGCAGTCATCAATGCCAGACATCATCAGTAGCTTCTGGGGCACAGGAGCAGAGACTATGCCAGTGCCTCTGGGGGCAGGGATGAGACGCACCAGCACAGAACCACAGCGGCCTGTCACTTTGCACGGAACAGTGTGGGGCTTGTCAATCTTGTTCCCCCAGTAGCCTCTCCGCACAGGGACAATGGAAAGCTTGGCCAAGATGATGGCCCCTCGGATGGCAGTGGCCACCTCCTTGGAGCACTTGACACCAAGACCATTATAGTCCCCAATAGCGACAAAAGCCTTGAACCTGGTCTGCTGGCCTGCCCTAGTCTGCTTCTGCATGGGCATGATCTTCAGAACGTCATCCTTTAGGGAAGCTCCTAGGAAAAAGTCAATGATCTCGGACTCCTTAATGGGCAGGGAGAACAGTTAGATCTCCTCTAGGGATTTGGTTTTCATGTCCTTAACCAGGTGGCCCAGCTTGGTGATGGGAATCCACTCCTTGTCTTCAGCTTTACCTCTGCAAGCCCCCCACGAACATGGCCCCTAAGACCGCTGCCGAATCCTCCGTGGAAGCCGCCACAGCCTCCTAATCCTGGGCCCCCAGGTCCTCCGGGCCCCCTGCTGTACGGGCACCATCCGCCATTTGGTGTTTTCCAGAAGAAGAAGATAAATAACCCTTTATTATACTCAATTTTGAGCTAGTGTGGGATTTCTTTTTTTGTGTTCATCTTCACACACTCATTTGACAACTTTAATTTCCTTTTTATTGATTTTATTGAGCTATACATTTTTCTCAGCTCCCCTCCCTTCTTTTTCCCCTCCCCTTCAACCCTCTCCCATGGTCCCCATGCTCCCAATTTACTCAAGAAATCTTGATTTTTTTCTACTTCCCCAAATTTAATTTCTTTGAGTACCCTTTGGGTTACTTTCTGCAGTTAGTATAGTTTAGTTGTACAAAGAACAAGTAGGACATTTCCTTATAATTTCCTTGGCTTGTTGCCAAGTGATGAAAAAAATCTATTTTTCAAACACTTGCAATTGCCTTGTTTCTTGTGAATTCTGAAGTTCCTAGCACATTTCCTACCAATAGTTGATCAATTTCATCATTACCTTGTGCCAGAGGGCTGCGTAGACCCATATGGGATCTAGACTGTGTTATATATAAAGGATGATTTATACTTCTGATTATTTCTTGTAACTGGATAAGAAAATAAATTCTGTATCGTCTACAATAAATTCAGCAATTTCAATATGTAAAACTACTCTTTTTGCATATTGAGAATCAGTAAGTATATTAAGAGGTTTGAGGGCTGGAGAGATGGCTCAGAGGTTAAGAGCATTGCCTGCTCTTCCAAAGGTCCTGAGTTCAATTCCCAGCAACCACATGGTGGCTCACAGCCATCTGTAATGGGGTCTGGTGCCCTCTTCTGGCCTTTGAGCATACACACAGACAGAATATTGTATACATAATAAATAAATAAAAATATTAAAAAATAGGTTTGAAAAATCTAATAATACCATGAGAATAGCATGTAATTCTGACTTTTATACAGAATCATAAGGGCTTTGAGCCACTTTACCCAAATTTCCTGATTTGTAACCTGCTTTTCCTGATTTATTTGCATCAGTATAGTGTAGTAAGGAGTGGGGCCCCTTGTTCCAGCTGCCCGGCTAGCTTATACCCAAAATAATCACACAGAAATTGTATTAATTAAATCACTGCCTGGCCCATTATGTCTAGCCTCTTATTGGCTAACTCTCACATATTAGTTTAACCCATCCCCATTAATGTGTATCGCCACTTGACTGTGGCTTACCAGCATGAGTCTAACCAGCGTCTGCTTCAGGCAGGAGATTCATGGCATCTGCCACACTGTCCTTCTTCCCAGAATTCTGTTCTGTCTTCCCTGCCTACCTGAGTTCCGTCCTATCAATTAGGCCAAGGCTTCTTTAATGACCAATGAAAGCAACACAAATGCAGAAGGGCCTCCTACACCAGTACAGAATGTAGGGGCTCCGGTTATTGGTGTGTCCCGTACAGTGTGAGGAAGGATCCAACTGGTTCTCTTTATAAAGCCGAAGTCTCTTGCTTTTTGGATATTTGTTATTAATCTCTCCCAAAGAGTTACTGCAAGCTCTTTGCCAATGTTCCTTTTCTGCCCATAAAGAAGAAATTCCTGTACAATTTCGGGTCTATTCCTGCTAATTGATAAAGTCTCGATTTTTCTTCTAGAATCACCACAGAAAACTTTTCTACATAGGTCTTTGATTTTTTTTTTTTTACCCTGTTTTTGTGGTTAAAAAAAAAAATCCGCTCTAAGACATTATCTTCTCTCTGCATCAAAAGTTCCTGTAGGGAAACAGAGAAGACAGGATAAAACCCAGCGGGGGCTCGGAACAATCCACACAGGCATCTCTACCTTCTTTCCTACCGATGCCAGTTCTCTCCACTTAGCTGATAATGCTCTTCGACTAGTTAAGCCCTTGTCACCTTGTAAGGTTTGAAATGGATTGCTCAGTTCTTGAGTTGTCAGTTTAACTGTGGGCTAGTTAACGTCTCCCAGCAATCTTTTGAAAGTCATTAAGAGCAATTAATCTCTTCTGATTTGTACCTCTGGGGTTGAATTTTTTTGTAAGCCCATCTTATATCCTAGGTAATTAATAGAATCTCCTCCTTGTATTTTTCAGGAGCAATTTGTAATCCCCAACAAGGCAATTTTTTTTTACTTCCTCAAACACTTTCCTAAACTATCTACATTTGAATCAGCTAGTAAGATATCATCCATACAATGGTAAAGTATAGAATGAGAAAACTGAACATGAATCAGTGGCTGGTGTACAAAATATTGGCACAGGGTATGGCTGTTTAACATCCCCTTTGGGAGAATCCTCCACTGGTATCTCTTAACAGACTGAGAATTACTTTAAGTAGGCACTGTATCCTTTTCTTGTAATGGTATAGTGAACAGAAAATACTGTTGGTGGGGCTGGAGCTTCAGCAAAAAGGAATGAACCCCAGAGCTTAACAAACCCATTAGGAAAGGCCAGGGGTAATGGGAAGGGTGGTCCACCCAGACAGGTGTTTGCCTGAATGCCAGTGGGCTGCCAGGAGACAAGATCACAATAATGCTGGAATCCTAACAGTCTTTTAAATCAGTAACTATAACAGACCATCCTTTAGGTAATAGAGAAGGCTTTCTGGGCTGTTGAGAGCACATTGACTGAATTACTTTATTTATGGCTCTCAAACCTGTTTTTTCTTTCTTTCTTTCTTTCTTTCTTTCTTTCTTTCTTTCTTTCTTTCTTTCTTTCTTTATTTTGGTTTTTCAAGACAGGGTTTCTCTGTGGTTTTGGAGCCTGTCCTGGAACTAGCTCTTGTAGACCAGGCTGGTCTCGAACTCACAGAGATCCGCTTGCCTCTGCCTTCCGAGTGCTGGGATTAAAGGCGTGCGCCACCACCGCCTGGCTCAAACCTGTTAATATTCTCCATTTTCCAGACTTCTTTTTAATAACAAATAAAGGACTGGCCGATTCTTTATTTATGTTGAATATTTAGTTGCTTCTGTACCAGCTGTTCTAAGGCCTGTAATTTTTCTGATGTCAAAGGCCATTTTTCCACCCAGTTAGCCATTTTAAAGGTAGGGCTGTTTGTCCCTTTGAAAGCCCAGCAGCTGTTGTGCCCTGTTCTTGTACAGCCCGAATGGTTGGTGACTGCTCTTTACAATGCCTTTTAATATTTTTTTCAGAAAGATGCATTAGTTTATGGTTTCTGACATTGGAGGAATATATCAAATCATATCCCCATAAATTCACTGCTATATTAACCACATGCAGCTTTAATTTCCTCTTTGCCCTTCTGGCCCTATACATTTGACCCATCTTGTGTTTTGTTTTACCTGAGATAAAGTTTCAACCTCTAAAAGCTCAACATTTATGTACTGAAGAGGCCAATTTGAATGCCAAGACTCTGCAAATATTGTTACATCTGCCCCTGTGTCTACAAGACCTTCAATTACAATGTCCTTTATACATATTTTTAATGTTTATCTCTGATTATTTATAGGCATTTGCCAAAATATTTGTTTTATGATTTCTCCTGAAACTTATGTTCCATCATCCAGAGCAGTATGTGTTTTGCTTTTGTTTTTGTTTTTTACAACAGGCATTAGGTCCTCTAATTGCTCTGGGAGAAGTTGCCCCCACGGTGACAGGGAATGACTGAACCAAATCTGATATGGAGGCCTGTGAGAGGCCCCCAAGGCCTTCCTGATGGCAGAGGGTTACCTTGTCTGTCCCTTGTTGATCTGCACTCATTGGTCCAATGTCGGTCTTTGCTGCACCTTCTGCATACTCCAGAAGCAAGGGCCTTCTGTTAGGATTAGAAGAAACATTGTTTCTAGGAAGGCCCTGTCTACAATCCCTTTTTAGGTGACCTTGTATGCCACAATGAAAACACATGACAATTTATTTCTTCAAGCCTCTGGAAATCACCTGTCCTATCCAATTATCATCATGGTTATGACATTCAATATTGACTGTATTGCACTTTGGGTGCCTAATTATCCTCTTGTATTGTGAATTAGCATTTTAAAAATCCAGAGATTCAATTATTATTCATCTAGTTTCTGAATTTTGTATCATTCTATTTACAACAGAAGTCAATGGCTTCCTTTTAGCTTGTATAACCTTGGGGTAGTCAATCTTTGTAAAAAAACAAAAACAAACAGTGATGACTTCCTTTTAGCTTGTATAACCTTGGGGTAGTCAATGTTTGTAAAAAACAAACAGTGATGGCTTCCTTGTAGCTTGTATAACCTCGGGGTAGTCAATCTTTGTAAAAAACAAACAGTGATGGCTTCCTTTAGCTTGTATAACCTTGGGGTAGTCAATCTTTGTAAAAAACAAACAGTGATGGCTTCCTTTAGCTTGTATAACCTCGGTAAATGACTCAGTTCTCTTTCTGTCTTCTTCACTTCTGTCCCAAGCATTCAAAGCTGCTTCATGGCATAAAGGCAAGGTGTGGTCATCATATAGAGACTGTCTTTGTACATCAGCATCATTTGCCTCTCCAAGAAGTTGGTCTTGGGAGATTTTATTACCTCTATCCCTACTTTGGTGATCAATGGTCCTATCCTTATCTTTCCACCATTAGGCTCCAATACTGCTGTAACAAAATCTTTCCAGTCTTGTGGGACAATTTAACATCTGCTTCACAAAATGTGAATTCATGCCATATGGGACTCTCACGTCTTTAAATCTCCTCAAAACTAACTCTTTCACTCAGCTTTTACACAGCCTTGGGGATTCTGTCATTTTGCAGTTGTTCCTATAAGGCGGCCGGGTAAATAAAAGTCGCTTGTTTGAAAACCTTGGGCTGTTCCTCTCTAATTTTATAATGTAGTGGTGAGGTTGGTTCTCCTTTAAATTCCTCTGTCTTTGTCTGAATATCTCTATTATCTGTTTTAGTAACTTTTTCTAAGGCCTGTATCTTGGCACTCTGTGGTGACTCACAAGTGACTCAGTTTCCATCTGGAGTCCACTCTGGTTCTAAAGCCATTTGAGTTCAAGCTTGCCTGCTCTGCTTGTATCCTTGTATCTCTCCAATACCCTTTAGGGCGGTGAGAAAGTTATCAATAAGCCCATGGGAAAGAGCATTTTGCCCATGAGAAAAGAACACACTATCCAGTAGAAAGAATACTGCTGATGCCAAACCTTAGGGCACATCCAGATAAAAGAAACTGCTTGCTCAAGGACAGGAATGGTCTGTGGTTAGATGCTGACTGGCTGTGCTCGGCTTCATTCTGTTTTTGTATATAAGCAGGCTGTGAAATAAACTTGGGGCTGTCCGGAGTAAGCTGGCAGTCTCCTGAATCTATCTGTCCTGTGTTTTCTGTCTCAATTTCTCTCCCTCTAACATTTCTTTAGTCTCAGCGCCCCCTTCCAGGAGCCCTGGCTGACTTTGTTGGGACAGGCTCCAACATCGCTCATATCCACCAACTTTTTTAGGGATAAAACAAGAATTACAAAACCAATAATGTTTAAATTGACCTTTTGTGAATCCTATTTAAGTTCATTTTCCCCTCACCTATCGTGGAATCATACAGAGACCTAACTCCCTCCATCGTTATAGTGTTTTCCACTTTTTAATGTGGGGGAAACGCTCTTCTTTCCAAAGAACTAATCCCCCCTTTAAAAATTTCCAATTGCCAGGAGGCTGGAGAGATGGCTCAGCAGTTAGAGCACTGCCTCTTACTCCAGAGGATCTGGGTTAAATTCCAGCACCCACATAGCAGCTTATGGCTGTCTGCAACTACAGGTTCTGGGGGATCTGACACCTTCACACCAATGTACATAAAATAAAGTTAAGTAAATTAAAAAAAATTCCTCATTGTCTTACCAAATCTGCTGACAACGATGGCGCTGAGTGAGGCTGACTGCGGTCTGACAGGGAACACAGGTGGTGCTGCTGCTAGCGTGTACTGTGAGCCGATGTGTGCGGTATCCCCCACTGTGGAAGCCTGAGTAGGTGTCAAGCCAGATACCTAGTATGGCAAAAACCCAAAGAGGGGGCCCAGGGGAGGCCTGAAACCCACGGAGGGAGTGAACCCAGTGGGGAGGGGCTGACTCTGGCAGTGTTTGGAGCCCAAGTGCTTGTGGGGATTGCCATAGAGAAAAATCCCAGAGGGCTTGGGGAAGAAAAGGAAAACCCAGCCAGAGGTGCAGTGACTCTGGGGTGCTGCTCCTGTGTGCAGCTTTGGCCTGCCTGTGCCGGTGGCTGCAAAGCCACTAGCAAGCGGCTATTTTTTGAATCTGTGCCCCAGAAGTCAGATGCCAAACAAAGAGTAAATCTAATCAATCTTATCACTAAAAGCCTGAGGGATCAGAGAAGCTGTGGAGAAGTCACTGGTGGCTTGCTACCTCTTCCATTCCTCCATCCCAAAGGACCAAGATCCTGTCTCCGCCCCACCTTATCACTTCTGTCTCCTCTCTGTACAGACCTCCAGCCCTCTATGGCTAACTAGTGGCTAGCTCTTCCCTCTGACTCCAAGCAAGTTTTATTTGTCAGAACACAATGAAAGTATCACACAACATTCACACACACACACACACACATACACAGATATGTACACAGACACAGACACACAAATAGACACAGACAGACACACACACACATAGACGTACACACAGAGACACACAGACATATACATACACACACACAGACACCAATATCCACAAATAGTTTAACTAATTACCCAGGTATGGAGCATATCTTTAATCCCAGCACTCAGGGGGCAGAGGCAGGTGCTTCTCTGAGTTTGAGGCCAGCCTGGTCAACAAGATGAAATCCTGTCTCAAAAATCAATAAATAACAACAAAAATTCAAGAACTGGAGAGATGGCTCAGCAGTTAAGAACACTGGCTGTTCTCCCAGAAGACCCAGGTTCAATTCCCAGCACCCACCTGCCAGCTTACACCTGTCTGTATCTCCGGTCCCAGGGGACCTGAAGCTCTTTGGGCTCCTTGACTTTTACCCATTCCCACCCCATCCCATGCACACAGTTCTAGGGATGGAACCCAGGGCCTTGGTGCTACTGGGTGGTCTTCCTTGAGGACCCCCCCCCCAGGTTCCTTTCCCTGGTTATTCAGAGACATCGTCCAATCTTCCCACAGGACGTCAAGTGTCTGTGGTGCTGGAGGTGACCCAGGCTTCACCCAGGTTCTAAGATGCTGGGCCAGGTCTCTGCACGCTGACCTCTAGTCAAAGTTCAGCAGTTGCTTTTTTGCAAGTATTTCTTAAATTCCCCCACTTTGGTTTTTTTTTTTTTTTCATCAAACAAGTGCCTTGCTGGACTCTAGTGATGAGTCAGTGTTCAGGGTCAGAGAACCGAGGTCCCTAGGGCACACTCAGCAACACACAGAAGTCATCGCATGGCAGTGATCAGAGACGACACTAGCCATGGCACCATGCACAGCACACCTCCCAGCATGCATTTAACTAAGCTCAGCAGCCAGCAGCTTTTGGATGGATTGTGGAACTGGTTTCAGACTGCACGAAGAACTTGGGTTTTATACATGCCTAAGACCCTGGTTCCACACCCTGCACTGGGTTTTAGTGTCGTGTTTGGAGAAGATGTGTCAAGTTTGATTTCTACCACGAGGCTGGAGAGCACCCCTCGGCTCCAGAATTCACCATCCCCGCCCCAGCCCCAGCTGCATCTCATCCTGGTTAGGCAGTCTCACTGGCACAGTTGTTGAGCTCTGCTCACAGTGGCCACCGCCGCCAGCATCAACAACAGCATCTTGCCTGCTTGTCCGCAGCTAACACCGGTTTTCCAACTGCCAAGGAGCTCGAGGAAGAGTCTGAACATGCGCACTGAACTTAAGGGTAGGCCATTTCGCGCCCCACCCCCAGTCTGTGCATGCGCACCTGGTGTGAAGGCCCCATCAGGATCTTTTGGACCTGCGCAGAAAAAGGCCCAATGGGTCTACGCAGAGGCAAGTGGAAGGAGCATGAGCAATATGGAGGAAGAGCATGCACGTTTTGAATACCCAGGCTACCAGCTCCGTAAGTCAGATTCGTGAGCATGCACGAATGAATTTGAGGAAGTCTGCATAGAATGTGCATTCCGACAGGCAGTGGTGCAACCAGGGCTTTGGGCATGCATAAATTCTACCAGCTGCTTGAGTATGCACACGGGGTCGCTTGGGATGCTCCCTAGAAGTGTCAGTGTTTTCGTAAGTGCCCTATGGATGTCTGTCCACACAGGCGTCGTCAAGTATGCATGCGTGTGCAAGGCCTGCCATGTGCCAACTAGAAAGAGAGGCCAAATCTCTCCACAGGTGAAGATGGTGGAACCCGTTGTTGTGTATCAGCAGTGCACAAGAATAATAAGTTTTAAAGCAGGGGTGCTCTGTACCAGCCTCATCCCACCCTACCCCTTCAAGACCCATGGCTCTGGTCCCCACCTTTCAAAGCCCCGCCCTTTGAGTCGTCCTTCGATCCCGCCCCTGCTTCCAGTTCCTCCAAGCCCCGCCCCGTAGGGCGTTCGTTAACGGGACCACACACCACCTCCGCCTTCTCCTAGTCATTCTTCCTCCGGGGTTCTAAGATGCGTTTGCCTTTTTGTCCACCTCCTCCAAAACAGCTCTCTAGAATGGCCTCCGTCGAGCCCCGCCCCCGCCGTGGACCACGCCCCCACCTCTATGTCTTCCCTTTCCCGCCTCCGGTCGGCTCCCTGGCCACGCCCGCCCCCTCCGTGGACCACGCCCACCTCCCCCAAGCCCGGCTGCCAGCCTGAAGCACGCGCGCGTCGTCACGTGCGCAGCCAGAGGACGCACAGAGATGACGTGAGCGCGGTGCGCCCTCAGTATGGCCGTTCCATGGCGGCGAGCACAGGCTACGTGCGGCTGTGGGCCGCTGCGCGGTGCTGGGCTCTGCGGCGGCCGCTGCTGGCCGTCACTGGAGGCCGCGTCCCGAGTGCGTCTGGGTCGTGGTTGCGCCGAGGCCGGCGGGTCTACGACACATCGGCTCCCTGGGCGCTCGGCGGCCGCGTCCCCGCGGGCAGGGGTCAGTGGCGGGGGCTGTGGGACGCGGGCGGCCGCGGCGGCGGTGGCGGCGGCGGCGACGAGACCTCCGAGGGCGGCGCGGAGGACGGGGCCACGGCGGGCGGCGGGGACGGCCCGGTCGTCACGGCCCTCGCTCCCATGACCGTCCCGGATGTGTTTCCGCACCTGCCGCTCATCGCCATCACCCGCAACCCGGTATTCCCGCGCTTTATCAAGATCGTGGAGGTAAAGAGAGCGCCGCGCCCGGTCCTCACCACTCGGGAGTCTGAGGCAGGAGGATGCCAGAGTCCTTGGTGGCTCTTTTGGATATTCTCTCCTGTTCAGTTCCTTCAGTACCTGAGACAGTGGGCTTGGGTCCGTGAATCTAGGACCCTCGGTGATAGAAATCCCAGGCCGACTAGCAGCAGACTACAGTTCTTTTCCTTTCATCTTGGCGAACATTTTGTACCACCTTCTGAGCCTCCCTTGTGCAATCGTCTGTTGTTTATTGAGAGAGTCTATATATCTTCTGTCTTGAGACAGGGTCTCGTGTAGCCCAAGCCAGCAAGTGTCTTAAGTTTTTACTCCCTTAGTTACTTTGTATCACGCACAGTTATGAGATACAAAGTTTCAGGCCTTGGGGCCTTTTTTCTAGGAGTAGGAGAAAGCGGGAATGACTGACGTTTGAGAGGCATACCAAAGGAAGAGGAAAAGGACAGCATTTCAGCAGTGTCCCTGACATCCACCTCATATCCACGCTGAAGAAGAAAGTAAGAACAGCCTTTACCTAAGGGAGGAAAATTCCAGTGCCGGAAGCTGATCCCAGCTGAGCCTTGAGGCAGGGAGAGAGAACAGGATGATGAAATCACCCGAAAGCAGAGACATTTAAAAGTAGGGAATTTCCTAATCAGCTGCCTACCCCACTGCCTTTATGTTTTATTTTTCTCCTTTTAAACTTGGAAATCAGAGTCCAGGGAGGCCAGTGGTTATCAGTTAACCTAGTACCAAGGTCATACAATGAGTCATTGCCATATCCACCCCACAAACTCCCCTCAACAGCATAGATGTGGGGGAGGCTCAGAGGCCACTCTTCCATCTACCTCCTCTCCCATGTTTCCAAGGCCCATCATTCATGTTGCCTGTTTGGTAGAAGGACACACACACTTTCCAGCCAACCCTGTAAGGTGACATGGCACCGATACCTGTCTGCAGGTTGCTCCCGATAGCCTTTTTTCCCCTAATCTGGAAAGTGGATATAATAGACGCTCCTCTCTCCAAGTCAGGGAGCTGCAGTGGAAGACACACATAGGCCTGTGTGTGCCGGGTTTTCTGTTTGGGTTGAGGCAGGCTCTCATGTGTCCTAAGCTAACCTCAAACTTGCTATATAGTTGAAGTTGGCCTTGAGCCCCTGGTCCTCCGGCCTCTCCACCACCCCAGCTCTGGGGTCACAGGTGTCCTCATAGTCCCGAGTGACTGAGTAATGAGCCTCTGCAGTTTGTCGCTTGGAGGCAGTCCCAGACACAGTTCCTGTGACCCTTGTAGGACTAGCCATGCCTGGAAGGTTCTGATCCTGCAGGACTGCCCTGGAGGCCCCTTCTGGATTCCCTGGATTCCGGGAGCAGAGCAAAGAGACATTTCTTCTGCTGCCCGCCACACACAGCTAGCCATCAAGGCCGTGGCCTTGAGACCCTGGCACGTGGCTTTCTGATATCATCACCTCATAGATGACCAGCCATCAGCTTCCATCAGAGAGCTACAGCGGGCTCCTGGGAGCAGTGAATGGATCTGTTAGCAAGACTCTGCTTTCACGTCTGCAGCTGCCAGGCTTAAGGGCTCTCCTCAGATTGTACAGGGGTGGCTCGGGCTGCCGGGGTTCTGGGTGCAATGCTCACTTAGCGTGCGTGAGGTGATGGCTCCAGCGTCACACAAACAACGTGTCACCCCAGTGCTCAGGTGAAAGGAGGAGCATCGGTGGCTCAGAGTTACTCTTGGCTACATGAGCCACTGTTCTAGTTACCATCTATTGCTGTGAGGAGACACCGTGACCAAGGCTTGCTTACGTTTAATGCGGTAGTTTGTGAGCATCACGGTGGCGAAGGTGGTGGCAGGCAGGCATGGCGTTGTAACTGTGACCGAGAACTTGCTTCTGATCCACAAGTTGCAGGCAGAGAGAGCCTGGCATGGGCTTTTGAAACCTCAAAGCCTACCCCCAGTGGCAGACAGCCAACAAAGGCCACACCTCCCAAGCCTTCCTAAACAATTCCTATGACTGAGCCCAAACATTCAAATATATGAGCCTGTGGGACCATTCTCATTCAAATACCACAGACCCTATCTCAAACAACAACACCCACCTAAACTGGAAGTGGGTGGTGCTGACTGTCTAATTCCTGCACAGTGGAGGGTGGATTAGGGTTGGCATGAGTTCAAGCCAGCCTGTGCTCTATCGGGAGACCCTTGTCCCTGTAAATCCTGAACTAAAGCAAGAGGATCACCTTGAGTTCCAAATTAGTGTCAGCTCTGTGGTGCGCGTTAAGCTACGGAGTGCTGGTGGGGCAATGACTCAGGTGACAGCCATCCTCAGAGAGGTGTGTGTGTGTTTACATTGAGTTTATGTGTATGAGTATTTGCATATCCAGGCACGTGTGTGCTTAGTGCCTGTGAAGTTCAAAAGATTCAAAATAGTGTCAGGTTCCTTGAAACTTGAGTCAGGGATGATTGGGAACCTCTGTGTGGTTCTGAGAGTTGAGCTCAAGCCGTCTACAAGAACAAGTGCTCTCGTCCAGCCCCACTGCTTCTGTTTTTTGTTGGAATGGTCTCTCTGCAGCCCTGGCTGTCCTGGACCTCGCGCTGTAGACCAGGCTGGCCTCGAACTCAGAGAGGTCTCCCTGTCTCTGCTGGCCACCGTGACAGCTGCTAAGGGGTAGGAGGAGTCAGTCACTGAGATCAGAGTAA